TAAACTTATATGTCTCAAGCTGTGATAAATACACCATGGGGAGCAAGCCATATTTGTGCGTGTCTATCGCTCTAAAGTTGGGGCATCTACCGAGATCTACCTGTCTTTCCATGTCCATTATTTTCTGTTTAAGGGCAGATTTTGCTTCATCCCATTGCATACTCAGTATTGCTTGTGGAGAAAAGCCCATAACTTGCAATTTGTTTAGGACTGCTTTCAACCACTTCGATTGAAAATTGTCCTCTAGAAGTAGATGGGTTAATCCCTGTAATTGATAATTTATTTTAAGCCAGTACTGAAGGGAGGCTAGTGTAATTTTGGCTAGCATTGTTAGTGAGCCTGCCTCTAAACGAATTTGTGCATTTGGTACGCATCTTGGAACTTCAAGAATTGCTCTAAGAAATTTAGTTTGAACCCATTCTATTGGATGAAAACAGCTAGATGGAGGCCCTATAAAGGTGCCGTAGAGTATCTGGCTGACCACCTTTGCCTGAAAGAGTTTGTGGGCTGCTGGAATATTTCGACCCTCTTTGGAATAGCAGAACCTTAAGATGGTATTTGCTGTTTTTTCCCCTTGGGTAGCTGCATATTGTATATGAGCCTTTCTGTCCCCAGTGGATTGAAGAGCCATACCTAGATATTTAAAACAGGAAACCTGTTTGAGAGATTGCCTATTTATAGTCCAAGACCTTTTCTTTTGTCTTCTACCAAAGGCCATAATTTTTGTCTTTTGATAATTTATTTCTAATTCCTTCATTTTGCAGAAGTCTGCAAATTTCTTAAGGGCTCTCTTTAGGCAGACTGGAGTTCTTGCTAAAAGCATGGCATTGTCCGCACAACGAAGGATAGAAATATGTCTTTGATGTAATTTTGGAGGGTGGAGACTAGGAGAGTTCAGGTATTCTACTATGTCATTTATGTATAAATTAAACAGAGAGGGGGGCAGTAAGCAGCTCTGTCTTACTCCTCTATAGGTGTTAATTGGTTCTGTTAAATCTCCTTTCCTATTGAGCCTAACCTGGAGGTTGGTATTGTCATGTAGCATACGCAACAATAGAAGTCATCGTTTATCTATTGAGGTGGCTTCTCAACTGGCCCATAGTTGCTGTCTCGAGATCGAATCGAAGGCCTCTTTCAGATCGACAAATGCAGCATATAATGAGGTCTGACCCTTTGATGCATCTTTCTCTATAAGGTGTTGAATAATGAGACAATGGTCCATAGTGTATCTACACTCTCTAAAACCAGCTTGTTCTACAGCTATCCTATTTTCTTCAACCAGCCAAGTGTCAAGTTTATCCTGAAGATGCCTAGCATACTGTTTAGCACAAATGTTTAGGAGACTAATGGGGCGATAATTTGCCGGCTTATCTCTTAGCCCTTTTTTGAATAGAGGTACAGTGGTGCCCCACTTAACGAGTGATTCGTTTAACGATGAATCCGCTTAGCGATTGAGTTTTTGCGATCACATAACGATGTTTTAAATGGCAAAACATCACTTTGCGATGATCGGTAATCTGTTTCACTTACCGATTTTCGCATAGCTATGTTTTTAGAACAGCTGATTGGCGGCTCCAAAATGGCCACCGGGTTAAAAAAATGGCCGCCCGCAGTGTTTTCGTGCCCATTCCTCGCTTACCGGGCAGCGAAAATGGTGGCCGTATGAAGGATTTTCGCATAATGGTGAGTTTTTTAAAAACACGTTTAATGCATTCCTATGGGCTTTTTTGATCTGCATAGCGACAAATCCACATAGTGACGATTTTTCCGGAATGGATTATCGTTGCTATGTGGGGCACCACTGTACAGATAAGATTAGACATATAATATCTTCTTGTCATTAGAAATGTTGATTTCTGAGGATTGTATTGGCTATGTTGAGATCTTATTGGTAGATAAAGATACTGTACTATGAAATCAGAAATGTCTATGATGAATATAATATTTAGAGGAAATTGATTCTGAGGTACCTATATAGAGATATTAAACATATTGAAAATTATAACAGGAGTATGCAGATAAGGTTAGACATATATATCCTTTTGTTTTTTGGAAATGTTGATTTTGAAGATTCTAAAGCATGATAATCTGATATATAATGGGATGTTTTGTATGAAAGTAGGGTATAAGATCTGTTGTAGTCAGAATCATATAATGGACAAGTTTGAATGTGAGATACCCCCCCGCCTATATGTTTTGTTTGTTTTATATATTCTAGAGTGTTTTATATGTTTTTGTTTGTTTTGTATGTACGTGTGTTATAGAAATAAATACATTGCCAATGTGAAAAATGTTGCCAGGGAACCAGTGAGACCCCTCCTAGGACCTGACAGTCCAACCAAAGTAGGCAACAACTATTTCCACAGCAGCCTTCCAAGGAGTCACATCCTCAACTGGTGTGCCAGACACTTGCTCAAGGGTTCCTTCTACTGCACTGACCATTTCAGTAACTCCAGATGTAGCAGACCCTGACAAGGCAGAGGCAGAGGTGGGAGGCAGCCATATGCCATACCTGCTATCACACACCATGTCTGGTCCACCTCCATGGAGTCCTCAACCTCATGGAAGAGGTTCATCCTCCCTCCCTCCCTGGCCTGGGAACAAAGAGCACTGCTTCCAAAAACTTAAGAGTTAGTTTAGGGCAACCCATGTTCTTTTTCTCTTTGTCTGATGTTCTTCACCATTTGTTGATTTCTTATCCAGTTTGTTTGTTTGCTCATTTATTTATTTTATATGCCACTTTTCTCCCCACAGGGAACATGAAACATCTCACAGCTGATAAAAAACACAGTATAAATATCACATTTAAAATACAATTAAACACTATAAAGATTTTTAAAAACAAGATTAAAAACTATTTCAAAACATGTAGAAGTTGTGAATAAACTTTTATACAGTGGTGCCTCACATTACGATGTTAATTCGTTCCAGCAGAATCGCGGTAGAATGAAAATGTCGTAAAGCAAAATTAAAAAGCCCATAGAAACACATTAAAACCCAGTTAATGTGTTCCTATGGGCTGGAAACTCACCGTCCAGTGAAGATCCTCCATAGCGTGGCCATTTTCGCTGCCTGTGCAGCGAGGAATCCATCCCAGAAAACAGTGGGCGGCCATTTTGTTTTCCCAGTGGCCATTTTGAAACCGACGATCAGCTGTTAAAAAATCATCGCTTTGCGAGAATCAGTTCCTGAAGCAGGGAACCGATCATCGCAAAGCGAAATTCCCCCATAGGGAACATTGTTTTGCAATCGCTTTTGCGATGGCAAGAACCTCAACGTCAAGCAGTTTCATCGTTAAATGGAGTGCCCGTCTTGCGGGGCACCACTGTATGTTGAATAACCCCATGTCTTGAGTCATGGAGGGGACCTCTGGGGCCACTTACAAAAGGCAATGTACTCCCCTCAAAATTTGTAAGCTCAACAGGGCTTTTGTAAATGATAGTCTGAATTCTGTCACAAACCCCTAACAGGAAATGGATTTTTAAAACTCAGCTCTAGACACCAATGGAAATGAATAATAATAATAAGAGATTTGATACAATATGGGAGTTTCCTTAATGATTTTCTGAGAAGTACTTATGCAGCAGCTCCTGAAAAATAATACAGTGGCCTTACCTCACAGTATTCCGTGATGATACAAAAACTTTCTCCCTCTATAAAGCTGGTGTAAAACTTGACAATGGCTGGATGGTCTAGCTTGGACAGCAACTGTGCCTCTAAGTTTGCTTCTACAGTTTCATTGGGCTTGAGGTCTCCCACAGAGATCTCTTTCAAAACCTTCCTGTTAACAAAAAGAGAGGGTTTTTTTTAAAAAAAAATAGGTTGCTTACATACTAGGCCTTTCCTCTGTGGTCTTTATTCACTTTTAATATAAAACACGGATACTACTGAATTTTCTATAACATAAGTCAGGGTGCTGGGTGTTGTCCTCATTCCATGTTTTCCCAGACCCGATCTGTGCCAATTTTTAGCAAATGAATACAACAGCAACACCCTGCGGCCCAATATTTTACTGCTAGGGATGGGGAGATGAGTTTGTGCACTTTTCTACCTCTTGTGGCAGATAATTTATTTGTGATTGGGTAATCTGCACCTTGATTTTCATTAATGAAAGCACCACTTGCTGCTCTGCCTCAGGTAGGAAAATAGTTTAAACTGGCCCTGCTGTCCAGTATGTTATTGGGTCTTTTTAGGACTTTTGTGTCTAAACTTTAAAATTTTCTGTCAAACCGTCCTGCCCACTTTTGTTTATTGCTTTTGTTTATTGTAACTGGAAAATTAGTGACATATAGCCTCTTAAATGTCTCTTGATTATCTTCCCTGAATTGCACTAGTTTTGGTTTTCATCTCCATGGCATGAAGGGTTAGAAGACTTTGGCTAGAAACCTGTTTGCAGAAGTTACATCATGGATCTCTGGTGATGTCATCAGCCCTGGCCCTGCTGCAGAGTTTTCAGCTTCTCTCCCTCCCCCTGTCCATAGGTATCCCTTTCATCCTGAGGCAGCTTTAAGGAGGGGAAAGGGGAATGATTCAAAGCTGGAAAATCATTATCATGGTTCCTGGCCCTGCCGCTGGGACTGACAGCAGCAATTTTCCATGTTTAAATCATCCTTCCCTCCTCTTCTGCAACTCCCAAAGGCTGCCCTAGGAGAAAGGGGACCACTAGGGATCCCCATACCCTAGCAGGAGGAGGAATGGGATGCTTTTAATTTCACGAACAGTCCTGCAGAGATTTGAGGCATAGCTTATGCCAACAGGATTCCATCCTTTATCTTTTAACATTTAACAACAAAATTATTGTTAATAACAGCCACAAAACATCAAGCTAAAGATGGATGGACAAGTCTCTTTCTGGTCTGTGCCACCTTTGCACATATTCAATCTGTTCCAATTTTTTTAGTTTACATTATCTATTGTGATACCTTCCTTTGGAGCCAGGAGATACACTGGAAAATCACAAGCACACAATCAGGTTATGTAATCAACACAGTAATCCAGGGATGCAGATCAAGTTCACAAACACTGAATTCCTCAAGGTAAACCTGCTCCAGAAATCCCATCATCCAGTAATAGTGAGTGACCATCATCTCTAAGGTCACAGCCTGATCCAAAAAAGGGTGTTGAATCCAGATACCTATGTTTTTCATGTTCAGGAAGAAGATCAGCAGGAGAGGCAAGATAGAAATAGCCACTCCCCAGGAAGATTTATTTATTTCTGCTGTCTTCATTAAATAAAGGATATGCCGCTAGAGGCAACACAATAGCAATTGCCTACAAAAGCTGTCCTAATGTTGAAAACAGCAATTCTTCATGATCTCCCTAACCTTTTATAACTATATTGATCAGTTATTTAGAATGGAAAGTAGAGATGGCCATGAACCTGAAAAACATGGTTCTTGATGGTTTGTGGTTAGCCACAAACTACAACCCACCATGAACCAACCAGAAAACTGAACTGGTTCGCAATCAGCTGAGAGGTGGGTGCACGTGCAGAGACATCAACTGACTTTCCTTTAAGAAGTCTGCATGTTGCCTATGGGCATGACACCCAGGGACCTAGAAAGGTAGCAGTGGTGGCAGGAGAAGATAGGCTAGGCAACCAGGGCAATAGAAAGGGGATGGGCGGAATCCCATTTTGCCAAAGCAAAATGAAGCACCAAGGTGAAAACAACTCAACATTTCATTTTGCTTTGGCAAAACAAGATGTCACGTTCCTAGGGGTTTCAGAAGGCAAAAGTCCAACAAGCCAATCCAATATCAGAAGTCCAGAAGATACAAACAGATGCCAAAAACACAAACCATAGCCAGGAGCCAGAGTTGAAAGCAAGGTCCAAGATAATCAGGAGCATGGATGAAAGCCAGAGTATTCACTTGTTGTTTCCAGGCCATCTGGGTGCAGATTTTAAAGTAGCAGCAGTCATCTAATTACTAGAAAACACTTCCTCTTGCTAAAACTCAGGGCTGATCGACCTGATGTTCCTGTGGGAAGCATCCATGCGAGCCTCAGACGTTTGTGTCATGAGTCTCTGCCGAAGCTTATCCCTCACACTGGAGGAGGAGAATCTGGTGGTGATTCAGCTGTCTGTGATTCTGACTACCCAGCATGTTCCTCAGCTGTAATGAACTCCTCAGATTCCAGATCTTCTTCGGCTGAATTAATGACACTGCCCCCCCCTGCAGGGCTCCCCCCTTCAGATGGGCCGGGTCAATCAGGATAGCTGGCATGGAACTGTTGCACGAGGTTGGAGTAATGTAAGTTGCTTGTGGGTTCACATGATCAATTCTCTGGGCCATAGCTGTCCCAGTCCCCGAGGTACTGAAGGCCCCCCAGTGGATTAGTGAGTCTAGGATCTGATGAACCTCATATTCTTCCTCACCATTGACCAAAACAGGTGCAGGCAGGGGTGGAGGCTGGACAGGGTCCAGTGCCACAACAGGGACAAGGAGGGACCAATTGAAAACAGGGTGAATACAGAGAGTGGCTGGAAGTTGTAACTGAAAAGCGACAGGGTTGATTTGATCTGAGATTAAATGAGGCCCCACAAACCGAGGGTAAAACTTGTGCGACCAGCCAGGTCAGCACAGATAATGGGTAGAGAGCCAGACCTGGTCCCCAGGTTTCAGAGGTGGGCCTTCTTGCCTTTTTCTGTCTGCTGTCTTGTAGGCATCCTTAGCTTGCTGAAGTTGCTTTCAGAGCAAATCTTGGAGAGCCTGCAGTTTGCGTACATGGGCATCAGCAGCAGGAACTATGGTCAACAGCAGGACAGCTAGGAAAAAACAAGAGTGGTATCTATAGGTGGCTGCAAATGGGGTCTGTTTTGTGGATGAATGTATAGCATTGTTGTAGGCAGACTCAGCCAGGGGTAGCAAGGTAGCGCAATCATCCTGCTGATAGCAGGTATAACAATGTATGTACTGTTCAAGGGTGGCATTAGTATGCTCAGTCTGTCCATCTGTTTGAGGATGGTACGCCAACGATAAGTGCATCTGAGTACCTAAAACTGGTGTGCAAGGCTTGCCAGAACCGGGAGGTGAATTGGGAGCCACGATCCGAAATTAAGTGTGTCGGGAGCCCGTGTAGATGAAAAACATGTTGAAGGTAAAGCTGAGCTGTTTCAGAAGCTATGAGAGGCTTGGGGCATGGGACAAAATGAGCCATTTTGGTGAACAGGTCAACTATTACCAGAATGGAGGTGTGCCCTTATGACTGTGGGAGGTCAGTGATGAAGTCCAGAGATACTGTGTCCCAAGGGCCGGCTGATATGGGTAGTGGATGTAGCAGCCCTGGAGGTTTGGCTGGTACGTCCTTGGCTCAATGACAAACCTCACAGGAATCAACATAACAAGCAACATCAGCACGAACCAGGGAGCACCAGAACTCCTGTGTGTAAGAAGTCTTATACTGACCAAAGTGTCCTTCAGGAGGGGAATCATGGGTCAAGTAGAGCACGTTGGCTCAGAGGGGCCCTGGAGGGACATATAGGTGCCCTCAGTGCAATAGGAGACCCTGATCATTAGCAAAGTCTCCAGCAGAGCCCTCTTGGAGTTTGTGCAAGGGTTGCTTTGCCCAGGGATCTTGGGCTTGGCTGGCCCGAATTTCCTCAGCCAGGGACAAGTGGGTTGTTGTGGCTGCAAAGACTGAGCGTGATAAGACAGATGCGATCAGAGTCTCTTCAGAGGGTGATACAGCATATTTTGGTTTGCAGGAGATGGCGTCGGCTTTCAGATTCTGGGTCTGCAGGATATAGATAATGCGGAAGCCGAACCGGGAGAAGAAGAGGCACCACCTGATCTGGCATTGATTGAGGCGTTGGGCTGTCTGCAAGTGTTCCAGATTCCGGTGGTCAGTCAAAACTTGGACAGCATGACGGGCCTCTTCAAGGTAATGCCTCCAGACCTCGAAAGTGGTTTTGATGGCCAGGAGTTCCCAGTCCCAGACAGTTGCATTCTGAAGGTGTGATCTGCCGGGAGTAAAAAGCGCAGGGCTGCAGTGTGAGGGGTCTTCCCTCTGGGACAGCACTGCATCCAGGGCCACACTGGAGGCATCTGTCTCCACAGTAAATGGTAGTTGGACATCTGGATAACGCAGGATTGGCTTGGTTGTAAAGCAAGTTTTCAGGTTGGTGAAGGCATGGTCTGCCTCCGTAGACCAAAGAAATAGCTCTTTGGGCCAGAGAATACAGGTCAGAGGCGTGGTGATGTCCGCATAGGCTGGTATAACTGGTGGTAATAGTTCGCAAAGCCGAGACACCGCTGCACATCTTTACAGTTCCAGGGCTTCTGCCAGGTGAGAACTGCTTCTATTTTCCTTGGGTCCATCTGGATCCCTTGGGATGACACAATGTGACCTAGGAACTCGACTTCCTGCTGGTTGAACTAACATTTCTTCAGCTTGGCGTAGAGTCAGTGATCTCATAGTCATTGTAAGACTGGGCAAACATCTTCTGTGTGCCGAGCGGGCTTTCGGGAGTAAATCAAAATGTCATCCAAATAGATTATCACAAAGTAATCAAGCAGTTCTCAGAAGATGACATTCATGAACCACTGGAATACAGTCAGAGCATTGGTCAAGCCAAAAGGCATGACCAAGTATTTATGCTGGCCATAACGAGTCCTGAAAGTCGTCTTCCACTTGTCGCCTGCATGGATTTTCACCAAATTGTAGGCACCATGGAGGTCCAGTTTAGTATAGACCTGGGCCCCTTTAAGGTGATCCAGGAGTTTGGCGATCAATGGCAGAGGGTAGCGGTCCCAAATGGTTATTTTATTCAAGGCCTAGTA